ACCTTTAGCTGTCTCACTGAAAACTTCGGCTGTTTCACCTATTGCACTTGAAATGATCACTTTCTCTGATTTTAATGGGGTTTTTTCCTACTAATTTTAATTTTTTACTTCCATTTCACCATCTGGGTGCTACTTTCAACTTGAATCTGCTACCTTTAGCTGTCTCACTGAAAACTTCGGCTGTTTTACCTATTACACTTGAAATTTTCACTTTCTCTGATTTTAATGGGGTTTTTTCCTACTAATTTTAATTTTTTACTTCTATTTCACCATCTGGGTGCTACTTTCAACTTGAGTCTGCTACCTTTAGCTTTTAGCTTATGTTTTGCGCAACAGGCTTTCACCCTTGCATTTTCGTAGGAAATGCAAATTCTCTAGTTTTTAATTATGTCAGTTTCGGTTCTCTGTATTGCAGAAGCCTGATAATCACCCATTCATTCAAATCAGGTGTGTTTGAGCAGAGAAAAAATAAAACATGCAGGGCTGCGGCCCTCAAGGACCAGTTTTGCCCACCCCTGGTATAGTATAAGCACATGATATGATGGTATTTAAGTGGTTAAAAGCCCTGTTCAAATGAGAGAACAAACATTAAGCAACGTTGTTCTGAGCAAAGATAATCCAATTTTGGCTTAAAAGATCTTTGTTTTCAGTTGGTGATTAATCACTTTGAAATCTGTTTAAACTCCAGCATTAAACAGCTCATTTACTGCATCGCTAAAGTGTTGACTGTTTATAGACAAGTCGATTCAAAGTCCAAATAAAAGGTTTCCTGTTTCCTGCCTGCAGTGTGGATATTACAGCACAGCTGAAGCATGTAGACCATTTTTAGATGTTAGTTTGTAGGAACAAAAAAGGTGAGCAATCTAATAGATCAACTCATTAATATGTTGGCAGTTTATGTAGATTTTAACATCCCGTAAGTTAAAATTGATTAATTACAGCCTTACCTGCTGGATTAGGAGGAATGAGACTGGATACCTCAGGGGAAAGAAAGGCAACAAAAACTCTTAGGTCTGGTTCGATCTACTTTTTGTAGGCTTGGATTAGATTTTTGCTGCTGTGAAGTATATTTTGCAACCACCAGGTGACCACAAACATAAGTAAGAGCTAAAGCCGTTATTAGTGCAAAGCTCACAATTTGGATTGATGAGAATATAAACTCTATAAACTGTTTTTGAAGTTTTTGTCAAATCTTGTGGTTTTAGTTTAGACTTAGGCTGTCAACCATGAGTTTAAGCTAAAGCAATGTGCTAGCAAGAGGAGTTGTGCAAACGTGTGCACGTGTTCAAGTCTTACGGTAAACCATCCAATAGGAACTTTCTGTATGGTTCGTATGGGTCAAAAGGGATTTGTTAGAGTCCACACTTTGTTTTATTTAACCAGGCAAGTCCTGTTGAGGTCACAGRTCTCTTTTGCATGGGTGGCCTGGGCCTGAAGGCAGCCTATTGCACATGTGTTTGGTATGTGGGAAGATGGAGTACCCAGAGAAAACCCATTGAAATATGTGGAGAACATTCAAACTCTGCACAGAAAGACCTCAGGTCTGAACCAGTGATGAAGTGCAAAATTTATATATCACCTCATAAGGTTATTTCCTCATCAAAAACATATCCAGAGTGTTGCTTTGACTCATTCATGCATGTCTGAGAAATCCTTGAATCTCCTGTGGTAGCCATGTGGAGCTGCCTAAATGCTTGCTGGTACAAAGCACCGCCTATTTGTACCTAGCTCCTCCCTCAAGCTCTGTCTGTAGCCGAGCTCCTGCTCCACAGAGCACCATAACCCTAAAGCATCGTTGTGAAGATGTGCTGAAGAGGGAGTGTCAGGAACGGTAGGAGGTTCTTAAAGAGACAGAGGCCCATTTCAAGACATTTAGATTAATTTTTAATATATACAGCATTTTCATAACAACAAAAACAACAACAACATAGATTTGAACTATGTGCCTGGAAAATACATAATTCTCCCACCCCCCTTTAAGGTTAGAAATTTAGTTGAGAAACTGTTGAGTATCTTTGATGAGTTGTTTGAGTTTCAGATAATGCCCCAAAGACCATTAGCACTATCTGCTGCCTGTAGTTTATTATTAATTTCTTCACATTATATACATCCTTGTAGTACCTGTTAGATGCACAGTGAGGTTTAAAAAGTAGTTCTTCTGTAGAGCTTCTGTAATATTTCTGTTTTATCGCAAATTAAAATGTTAACATTGATATAGTTGTTTTGAAAAACAATGGATAGCATGTCCAAAATGATTAAGAAATTACAAAATATAAAAAAAAACTAAGATAAATTAGGGCGACGCTGTCTCGTACAAGAGCTTAGCCAATACCTTGAATATGAAGCTTCAGCATACAAAAATAAAACTGGATCAAAGAGTGAAAGAAAAAAAAAGAAGTGAAACTTGTGGCAGGTGTGCAGTTGTCTGTGGGGCACAGGTGACTAGAAGTGACAGGAAAATATTGATGGAAGCTACTGAAGTAGTGAAGAGTGAAAAATTGTGTTAGGAGGGCTGAGGTTAATGACAGGCAGCTGTGAGGACGAAATGAGTTCATCTCTAACTGCAGATGTGTTCTCGCTCTGGAGCTCGACTTTAAACACTCACACTGATCAGTGGGTCAGGAGTAGGGCTGTTTATTGGCAAGAATTTGGTGATACGATACATATCATTATATAGGGGTCACGATATGAAATATCACGATATATCACGATATATTGCAATACTGTAAGCAAGGTGATATATTGCCGTTTTTTTGTCCAAATCTATTTAAAAATTCTCATTATGCTTTATATGAGTTTTATTTGTTTCATATTTCTTATTTCATCCATGTTTTCAATTGTTGGACTAAATGTACCGTTATGTAGTTTGATAATATATTTGTGGCACCTTTTAGATTTTAATATTATCTAAAAAATATGGTCACCCAAAAGACTGACAATAGCCTATATCTTGTCCTAGTTCAGTAAACGGATGACATAAAACTGCTGCACACAGTCTGTTGTCAGCTGTCACGGGGAACCTTAAGGGGGGAAGTGCAAGTATAGGCCAGTTATTTCATTGCGCTACTTTTCATATGGTCGTTGCATTTGGCCACTTCAGTGTCGTCCCTCAGGGACCCCCTTGAGCTCATGGCACTAGACATATGGCACTTAGACCTGCCTGCCTTCCGTAACATGACGGCTGACTACAGTCGGGATAAAGAGTGTCCTGAACAGGACACTTCAATTGGCTTAAAATATAGATATTTCTGCAAATAAGGGACTGTCGGTGACCTTAACTCAGCTTAGAAGGCAGCTGGTTTCAGTCTAATCCGCTCAGATTCAGCCATCGGTGTGTGATGCTAATGTTTACTTACAATGCTAATGTCTAAACTACAGTTACACGGCCTTTCCCAATCATTGGCTACTCCCTCGCCCTACTCACTACACACTACACTCACTGTGAAGCACCCTCACAGCTGAACTGAGTCCCTTTGATGGTGCTGTAAGGTCTAAAAGCCCATAGTCTCTGGCTCTTTAAAAGTAGAGGAGCCAAATGTCTGAGCTGTTAGCTGTTAGGTCCCTGTATGACCTGTGCCAGAGCTTGGTCTGCATTGCTGGTAGTAAKTCAGACTCATTTCCGGTGAGAGTTGGACTCCGCCAAGGTTTGTCCTTGATTCTGTTCATAACTTTTATGGACAGAATTTCTAGGAGCAGCCAAAGTGTTGAGGGGATCCTTTTTGGTGACCTTAGGATCACATCTCTGCTTTTTGCTTATGATGTGGTCCTATTGGCTTCATCAGATCCTGATCTCCAGCTCTCACTGGAGCGGTTCGCAGCCTAGTGTGAAGCGGCCGGGATGAGGATCAGCGCCTCCAAATCCCAGACCATGGTCTTGAGCTGGAAAAGGGTAGGGTGCCTTCTCCGAGTCGGGGAGGAGGTCCTGCCCCAAGTGGAGGAGTTTAAGTATCTTGGGGTCTTGTTCACGAATGAGGGAAGAATGGAGCGAGAGATTGACAGGTGGATTGGTGCTGCGTCTGCAGTGATGCAGGCGCTGTACCGGTCTGTCATGGTGAAGCAGGAGCTGAGCCAGAAGGCAAAGCTCTCAGTTTACTGGTCGGTCTATGTTCCTACCCTCATCTATGGTCACAAGTTTTGGGTAGTGACCGAAAGAACGAGATTGCAGATACAAGTGGCTGAAATGAGTTTTCTTTGCAGGGTGTCTGGGCTCTTCCTTAGAGATTGGCTGAGAAGCTCAGTCATCCAGGAGGGACTCAGAGTAGAGCCGCTGCTCCTCTACGTCGAGAGGAGCCAGTTGAGGTGGCTCGGACATCTGGTTAGGATGCCTCCTGGACGCCTCCCTGGTGAGGTGTTCTGGGCACGTCCCACTGGGAGGAGCCCCAGAGGAAGACCCAGGACACGCTGGAGGGACTATGTTTCTCCGCTGGCCTGGGAATGACTTGGGATTCCCCCAGATGAGCTGGCCCAAGTGGCTGGGGAGAGGGAAGTCTGGGTCTCTCTGCTTAGGCTGCTGCCCCCGTGACCCGATCCCAGATAAGCGGCAGAAAATGGACGGACGGGCATTAAATTTAATGTTTCATTAAGATAAATTAATCAGTTTTTAATTTTTCTCTGGTTAACAGGTTGGAGAGACCCGCTGCAAGAAGGTGTGCACGTCTAAATCCGATCTGAGGACCAATGATTTCAGCATTGTTGGCTCTCTCCCACGGGACTTTGAGCTGTCAAATTTTGACTGCTACGGGAAACCCATTGAGACTGGTTCTGGTTTTGGTAAATCGCAGGCAAAGAACAAGAAACCGCCTCCTCCGAAACCGGTCATCCCCTCTGCTGCCAAAAGGATTGACCTGTATTCTAGAGCGCTCTTCCCCTTCTCCTTCCTCTTCTTTAATGTGATTTACTGGTCTATATACTTGTGATTGTCTTGTATTATTACCCCTTGAATCCAATTTTATTGGTTCTTTATTGGTCCAATTGCATACAAACTTCAGTTTGAAGGTGTGCATCAAGAAATGTGAGCCTTACCACCACTAAATTACTGCTGAGAAGAAAATCAAAGTACTATGTGTTATTGAATTGTAAGAACAATTAATTTGTTTATAAAAATGGTATTTCCTATTTTTGCTCAGATATTTATATTGTATCTTATACTGAAATAAATCACATATTTATAGTTGTATTTGAGAGAGAAATGCAGGATTGCTAAATTCAAACTGTTGTGATGAATGATGTAGAAACAAATCCACAAAGACTGAGTGTGGAAGAAAWGAGCTAAAGGATGTTATGTTGAAGACTGTTTGCTTAAAGCTGTTTTCTTCTTTTGCCCTTGCCCAATGGGTGTTTGCTTACAAGTTTGAAAAGTATTTTATTTAAGCTTCAAATGCAAAGTGCAACATCGTAATTACCTCGCATGTTAAAAATACTGCATGTATTTAAAAGTTTCAGATATAAATATATAAATAAAATATTTATGAAATGTTACTATTCTTATGATTTGCTCTTGGGAAGAGAGAAAAAAAAAGAAGCAAGTGAAAATGTAAAACACTCCTCCTGTCCAGATGGTTACGTGACACTGCCACTTCTCCAGTTAATATTGACATATCCCAGCTGTGCAAATGGGTCACTTGTGAGCTGTGACCTTGTATTTGTGAAATTTGCAATAAAATAAATGATCAAATGACTTTTCACCATTTGATGTTATTAAAAATAAACACAGAAACTTGAGTCAAGTTGTTATGTTTTTATTTCTATGAAAGCAGGTTTTTTTTTGTAGTTTTATGCTCAGCTTGGGGGGTTTGTGTATGTGTTGTGACTGTGTCCAAATTATTATTATTATTTTTCATAATGTGTTTCCACAATAATCACTTTTATTCATACATCTATCCATACATTTTTTACCCAATTTTACCTTTCCAGCCAGGGCTCAAAGAGAARGGCGCATGTCTGCATCTGTCATTGGGCAAGCGGCATCGAAACCCTAACGCATTTTTTTACCGTTATTTTTTTTTGTCCATACAAGGAAACCCGAGTACCAAGAGAAGACCCACACATGCACATGGGAATATGAAAATGTCACACAAAAAAGATCCATGCCGAGAGGCGAACCTGCAACCTTCTTGTTGCGAGGCGACTTCTCCACCATGCTACTGATAATGCTAAATCAGCCATCATTCGTTTATGCAAACCTTCTGTAAGAGGGTTCCTACAGCTTAAGGCAAGTTAAAGACTTTTTTAATGCCACTTGAAATTAAATTTAAGACCAACTTCCTGAAAAAAAATAAAACAAAACAACAACAGTGACGATTAAACCCAAATGTTTATTTTAGCACAACACAACTAGCTACAAGGCATTTGGTAAATTGATTTTAAAAGTAAATAAATGTTACCAATTATTGTAATATTTGAGACAAATAACAATCATCCTACTTACAATGGGTTAACATTTTTAAGATCTCTGAAAGATTTAAGACATTTTAATGTTAATTAAGGCCTTTATGGAGAGACTTCATACAATATAATTTTGGCTTGTCATAATGTTAGTACGTAATAATTAAAGCTGAAACAATTTTTTTGTCAGTGATTGATCAGAGACGGGCTGAGAGCAGTGTCAGTAATATGTTCTGTTTTAGTCTTATTGGTCAGTTTAAAGTGAGAAAACAAGGCTCATTTTCCTCTCTCCAGCTGCCATGGTTACAGACACTGCAGAGAATCCGTGTCTGACACTCCAATAATCACCCTTTGACACACAATTGAAGTCAGACATCTAGATTGAGTTAGAAAAAACAAAAAAGTCTCTATAATCAAATCTGAGACAYGAGTCATCATCTGAAATCTATGTTACACAGATCACTAAAAACAAATGAATTGATGTTTTTTTTTTTTTACATGACTGACTTGAACACTCATTTCAGCTCTGACTGAGTTTTAAATAACAGAGATTTTGCATCACAGTGCCCCCCGATGGTAACAATTATATGGTAATGAGGAGACAGAAATATTCTTCTGGGAGAATTACAGATGTGATGTTAGTACTGTAAAATAGTCTGGTAAAATAGCATTGTATAAGTGGACTGTTATTTTATATTTTATGTAAGAACATATCTGAGTGATTTTCATAACAAAAATATACATAAAAAACAGGCAATTGCTGTGAGTGGAATGCAAAYGTAACAACACCCATTCAGGTCGTGTATATGGTTTCATTGGTAAATTGCACAAACCTAATTAGCAGAAATGAAAATTAGCATTGATAAAATGTTCAATCTTTGGCACCTGCATGTATCAAATGCAGCACATATGAGAATGACTCATGCATCAGTGTGAGTGAGAGTGTGTCTGTACGAGTGTGTGTGTTTAAACGTGTAAGCTCCACCCACACACCCCAGCACCCTGCCAGTACCAGAGTGCAGTAACCTTTATCAAACAGGGTGCTTTCTAATCCAACAAGACCTCTCACCAGGCTCCCACCCCACCCAACAAGACAACCACCATGACAGTCAAGGCGGTGATTAGCAGAGGCCCAGTGGGGGGAGGAAAGGCCACAGGGCCTATTGGAGGCTCATTTATGGGAAGACGGGGTCTTCACACATCAGTATTGTGCTTTTACAGTAGAGGACACAGTTTGTTGTGAGACTCAAAGAGGTTCTATAGAACTGCAGTGAGCAAAAACTACATGAGTCTGGATTTCCCATTACTGTACATGTTGACAACAGAGCAGAAAAAAAGGACTGAAGATGTAGAAATCATAAAAACTATTAATAATAATATTAACCCAATTATTATTAATATTTTACAGTTTATATAATCTATCTAATGTTTTAAATAATGCCAGAAAAGCTGTTTGTGTTTTGGATTTATTAACAGAAGATAAACAGGAAAACGTCTCTTTTCACAACACAAGTCAGCAGATTTGATCTTATTTAGCTCAATGTGATCTGAGCAGAACATAATGTAACAGTTTAAAATTAAAATAATCTTATAAAGTCCATGTAATCACTGTTATTTATTGAGCTGGTTAGCAGATATTAGCTTGTGGAGCATATATACAGAGTTTAGCACTGTTGAATCATGCCACAATTTAACACAAACTATTAAATATTACAGCTGATTTGTCCTCTGATTAATATTTAGACCCACAAAATATTATAAATGTGAGTATTTTTAGGTTTCTGTTAGAGGAACCTGACTTGTTGAGAAGATGGTTAGCTAATAGAGACAAGTTTCATACTATAACCAGAGAACGTTTTCTAACTGTTGACTGGTAAATATAAATATTCTTATTTAAGTCTAAGTTGCAGGCTGACTTCAGGTCTGGTTTAGATCATTGTTACTTATAAATTATATATTTTTCTAGTATAAATCTGCTATTTTACATAATTGTTGAATGAAATTAACATAATTATTAATTTATTGTAAAAACATGACCAACAATCTGCGTTCAGCTGCTGTTTATCTATTGGTTTCTATGGTGGATGTGAGCTGTTTCCCTTTTAGGTCTCCGTTTCTTCTCCTCCATGCTGTCACAGAGGCTACCAGTGGACGGCATGGGCGGGGCTCAGTCTAGTGATCTATATATTTAAGTCTATGGTGAGACTGAAGAAATGGGAAATTTGTGTAAATGCTGCTTAAAATATATTCTATTGTGTTGTAGTCTGGGTGAATGTGAGTTTCTTGATAAATAAGCATGTTAACTATGTTAATAATCCAAAAAAAAATACAACTAAACGTCTGTATTTTTCTGTTCCTGTCATGTTAATACAAATGAAAAATAAACCTTACCAGCGTTTGGCAAGGCTACACTGTGTCGACGATGCAGTTTTCTGGTGGAGGGTGGTGTGAAAAAGAGCTTAGCTCCAGCCAGACTGAAATAATCTGTAGCACGGCCGTGACGAGGGGCTCATCGCTGAGGTTAGTTGTGTCCAAACTAAAAAGTCAAAGTGAAGACAGAAAGGTGGCCATGGGAAATATCACAGAAACTGTCAAGTTTTTTTTAAATTAAATAAGAAAAACAACACTGGCCAACATTGTAAATAAGAGACTGTTCTTGGTGTTTTGCCTGCTGAAATAAAGGTTAAATAAAATAAAAACAAACATGGGACAATGTGTTATAAGCAATATGATTGATTAAAATAAAATGGTAAAGTCTATATTAGTTTAAATAACCAGGAAGTGACATGAGTGAGCAACCAATAGGTTCTATTATGTCACTTTGTAATATTTATCTTTGTGTGACATGCCAAAACCCAAACATAAGACTGTGTTTTTGAACCTGTGCCTGAATATTATCTAAGTCAAATCCAAAAGTAGACTAAAGAGTTCTCCCTTCAAATGCAAGTCTCAAGATCAAAATAACTAATAAATGACAGCGTGCTCCTAATTTTGGCACTGCAAGATCAAAAAAACTTCCTTTGTTTGATTCGTTGTTTTTCTGCTCAGTCTTTCCAGGGTGTAAAGCTGAAATGATACGAGTCAGGAACGACTCAAAAGTTCCTTAGCGGATAAACTGTGGCTGTCCAGAGCAAATCCATAGCTGGACTTTTTATTCTTTGTGTCCTGAGAAGCATGTAAATCAGCTCAATGTTGTTAGCTTAATGATGAAAATGCATGCTAAGCCATTTAATTACCTAATGGAAACATGCATGATGTTAAAAGCATTGGGACTCGTCATGTGACCAAAGGCTGAAACAGCATTTCAGAGGTCATATGTTAAAGCAGCTCAGTGCACAAAGACTGAATGCTACAGTATTGACACAAGCTGATGCAATGAAAGTGTCCAGTCTCAGCACTCCTCCTGACCTTGGGACCCATCCCTGCAGATTTAATTCCCCCAAAAACTGTTCTAATAGCAGGATGTGCTGAGCTGGCAACTTCTCAGGCCTGTTCTGTATTCTCATCACCTTTATGTATGTTCAAGCAGCCTTTCACTCACTGTCATATCAGCATCTTCTGTGAAACTGAACAAAACAGGTGTTTTTTTAATTGTTATGATTTGATGAGACAACAAAAGGAGAACTGTCACAATCATTTCAACATAAAGGAAACAGTCATATTTGCCATTGCAGTATGTTTTGTAACTGTCGGTTTAAGGTACAATATCTTATTCTGAAAACAAACTAAGCTCAGTTGGGCGTTGGATTGTAATTTCAGAAATAGTCTTTTTATAGGGAACTTCTGGAAAACTACCTTATAAAGCAGGGCTGTTCAAGTAAATTACTCCGGGGGCCACAGTTACCGCAGGCCAACAGCTCAGGGGCCRAACATCCAGCAATTAAAGTCATTATGTAAATAAACCAAGTATTACAAAGATCTGTTAACTTTGAAATAGTTTATTTTGCTGCATTTAACCATGRATACAACATACAGAACCCTAAACATATCAAACACAAAAACAACCCATTATGCCTCCTATTTAACACAAATATCATTTGATATCTCTGACTTGCCATTAACCCAATTTTATTTTCACTTTCATAGTTTTATCTTCAACTGCTTGTTGTTTTAACTGTCTTGACTGTGCATAGAAATGGTTTTTACCAGCTTCTAGCCAAGATTCTGATGTTTCTGTATCAAACATGTATGTTTAACTAAAAGAACTTGTAGTAATTAAAGTAGAAAATCGGAGGTTTGGGCTTAAGAGATGAATGATCCAATTGGTAGGCCGAACTTTGGCTACTCACGGATGTGGCCCACGGGCCGCCAGTTGAAAAGCCCTGTTATAAAGCATT